GCTGCTCGGAGAATCGTAAAAGCACAGGTTGGTCGTCACGTAAGCTATCAATACACGTTGGATCTATCCCGGATTCTTGAATCTGCACAAGAGATTAAATCGCCGTGCTTTCGTACACACAAGTTCCTTGCCCTTTCCTTTGTCAACCCGTGTGTGTGTGCCATATGTGCAGCTGCTGCTGTTGCTGCTGCTATGTATCATATGTATACAGCAATCGCGAGCTGTTGACTTGGCCTGACACAGGGTGGTACGTACCTCGTTCTAGGTCGAGTCCTCTCTATTCGCCTGCTTTACATGACGCGACGCGAATTAACTTATTTTTTGCCGGAAGACACGCATCAAGTACGCCCTACTCTTTGATCCACGATCGTACACCAGGTTCTTGGAATCGATCTATCTATCTATCGTGGGGGGCGGTGAAAGCCGCCAGACCCCTTGCAATATATGCGGTACATAAATACAACCAACTATTTTAGAACATCGGCAAGACGTATTGTAAGTCCCCAAAATTCCCCCGTCATGCGGTCCCTAACCGTCTGCATTAGTCTACAAGGGCGCCGGACTCCGGGCACCACAGGCGCCCTCGTCCTCATCCTAAAGCTGGAAACACCCGCGCTCAACTCGTTGATGTTGATGGTCAAGGTGGTAAGTTTACGATGTGCGAGTCACACGTGCATACCAAGGGAGCGAAGTTGGAAAGTAGGTTCCGACTGAAGGTGGCCGTGCAGTACCCAAAGTACGCCGTTTTTCTCGTCAATAATCCAGGAAACGCCTGCATGCCTTAGCTTCCCAAAGTTTAACTCAGGTACGAAACTACCATCGCAAATTGACCGCCCGCTGCGGTTGCTGGTGTACAAGTACAGTGCTAGTGTCTGAGCTTGTAGCGCTACAGATTAGCGGTCTCGATTTTTCAAACCATCCCTCTACAGCAGTATCATCGAGATGGGTGAGCTGCACACAGGAGTATACAGCCTGCTGTGCAAGTCCGATTTTGAACCGCTTGAAGCACCTTTGCATATTGTTTATTGTTGTTTATTGCGAGAACTCTGTCCCAACGGGGTGCAGGGAGCCAAGTTTGATTTCCGGGGGGGCCACAATGACCCTCCTTTTCAACACAACCAAGACCATTGTCCAACAATTGACCATCGACCTGTTGACATCTGAGGAAGAAGAAAAATAGGGCACTCTTTGTCACACCGGTTTGGTCGTGCTCGACAACAGATGGTCGTGCTACACACGCAAGTGTGTCAAAAAATCGTTGGAGATACCTCACCAGGACCGGGAGTTGTCGAGGTGATGGAGGCACACGAAAATCGGAGATCGCACGCACACACGCAGTTCGAATCCGCACGAGGAACAAACAGAGGAAAACAGCCGGGGCTGAGCCTATCCGCCCGCCATGCGCAACCTAGCGTGAATTGAAGCAACGTCGTCTGCCTGCTTTTGGCGCTGTTGATTCCCTCCCGTGAAATTGATGTCAACCGCTTTTTCTGCTTCTTGGGTAAAAATAAAGTACACCGCTTGGTGTCACTCCGTGGGAAATACGGCAGGGTTGAGACCATTGAATGTGGCGCCTACGCTGTGAGCCTGCCGCATCTATCTGCAACACTGGCGCGATGCTATGTCTACACGCTGCTGCCGATGCTCTGCGGCAGTGTGAGCTGCTCATCGCCAGGTACGTGAAGCATCCCATGTCCCATATCGGTATGCCTATTTGCGTCCGCATATCCGCATTATATTTGTGCACGACGGTAAGGCTCATGTTTTGGTGACGGTAACATTAACGTTAACGGAAAACAATCAACCGGGCACCTCGTCGAGCCCGTCGCACCCAACACTACACCAGCACAGAACATCGCAAACAGACTAGACCACTGCAAGGTATGGAGCCGTACCCCGCGGCTCAATACCCCGTTCCACCCACTTTAGATAACAGTAGCTGTCGCTACAACGAGCGACAGCTGATAGATGTAACTGCCGTCAGACGTGTGCGTCCACGGGAGAAAGTGCGTGTGATGCAACATACGTCTACCCATTCAACTGCCATTAGCGCACAGCAGGTACACCCTCTGTTTCGCTGGCCGCTGTATGTTGGCGCCCGCTCTGCCCGCTGTTCGTGTGTCGCTGTGCCCGCTGAGCGTGTGATATCTGCTGTGCGTGTTCTTCTGTATCTGTAATACCTGCAATCTTTTGTGTGGTCACGTGCGGTTCTGATCCCCCCTTTAAAATCAAGTTATGTTTTCTACAACCTAGATAAAACGTGCTTTTCTTTTCTTGATGGAGCGCTATATTGCGCTGAGACCTCAATATTTTGCACGTACAAAGAAGTACCATACAAAGAGGCATCGCCGACTATTCACGCGCTGGGATTGACTATACACAAAAATAGTTATGCACAGCAGAAATGTGTACTCCAAAGTCCGACAAATTAGTCTCTTGCCTGTCCTTCAGCTGAAGAAAAAAACGCATCAACTCCGTGTTCCAGCCTGCACACACATACAGTACAGTGTTTGTTTGCCGTTGAAGCTCCTAATTTACGTCTACATGTACATACAATATGCTGCTGTGTTGGATCCTGAGGAGTACAACAAAGCCCTCACTCGCAGTCACAGAGTCAGTCATGAAAGAAGACACTGATACTGCAAGGTATGCATACATGCGGTTTCACGTTTTACACCGCTCTACCCTACAATAGAAGTACCGTATACATACAACTGCAAGTATCGCATCCTCCCATCTTCCACCGCAACTCTAAGGGCGTGGGAGCGTGGGGGCCGAATGCCCATACGTCCGGCCCGTGTGTTTACGTTGTACCGTAAGAGTCGGATAGATGGCACCCCCGTGTAAGCATTTTTTCTGTAGCGTATTTCACCATAACCAGGGGGGTACCAGTGCCGAAAAGGGTAGAGTTGGAAACATCTCGTCGAGGGCTTTCCTGAGAGGTATCGGTTGGTGTCGCACCCTCCTAGTTGTAAAGAAATAGGCCAACGAAACGCTAACAAGGGGTTCCATTTCTCCGACTCTTGCGGTAACCCTAATGAGCCGCGGAGCACGAAGAGCAACTGTTCTTTTCCCTCCGTCTCGAATTATGGGTCTGTTTCAACGCGATGCAGGATCCCAGAGTTTGACTTCCGAGAAGCCTACACTGTACAATAAATAACCCACCTTTTGGAACCAGAACGAGATCTACCATAACCGATATAGAGGTATGATCTGTTCGTTTCCAAGGGAGAAATGGCGCACCATTCGTCACACCGGTTTGGTCGTGCTTCGGCGAGAGATGGCCGTGCTTCAGAGGCATTTGTGCCAAAAATTCGAGGAGATTCCTCGACCCACCCATCGTTCATCATCCCAGGGCGTTCAAGAAGAACAAGCGGAGATCTCAGGCGTGCGCGAACGAAACCAGGAGAAGAAAACAGAGGTACGTATGCATAGGTACGTATGCAAAGCAGTAACAGCAGACCTGGCTCTCTCCGCTGTCTAACAACAGCAGGACAGCAGGGAGAGTCTTGGCGGTTCTATTTGCCCTTGGAAAAATGGATGGGCGAAAAACAAGATAGATTGAGGACGTGCCCATAGCAGCAATAACAGCAGCGGAGAGCAAAGTTGAAGCGGTTGGTGCTGTTGACGCAATCGCCGTGTGGGACTTTAAACGATAGAGATGGCGTCTTTCGTCCTACAACAGCACTAGGGCAGGGGATGGGGGAAGCAAATGAACGACGCCACCTGGATGAGAGAGACTGGAGATGTTGACAAACGGTCCACGCGAGAGGACCCCCCGTTGGAAACTGCTGTGCTCCTGCCACTTTCCATCTGCTTTCCATACCACGTTGCCCGATGCGTTCTTCTACCCAGTGTTTCTCACCCTGTCTATCGTTCACTTTTTTGCCGGCATCGTGCTGTTAGGTACCGATCGTTTGGCGGTACTGCTGTACTGCTGTGTAGCTCGCGGTCGTCACCTTCTGCGGTTCATCATGCCTGAGGTATTTTTATCGCGAGAAGGGTGCAGCAATCCCTTCCCTCGCGACTTACGAAGTCGATTGTAGTTTACTAACAGCGAGCTTTGCAGCGCATCGCTTTCATCCTAGACCCGGATTTATTTAGTGAGAAAAAATCTCACTCTGCCGGGACTCGAACCCATGACCTGGCCCTTAGCAGCCTGCGCGGCTACCCACTAGACCACCAGGCGACCGAGGTTGCATGTATTGGCTGCCCGATCTAATTTATTTTTGTGGGGGCAGATTGTTCTTGCGAGCGGGCTGGCACTGGTACACGGGTATGTCGTACAGCAGTACTGCTGCCGCACGCAGCTTCCAGGTTCTACATATCCAGGATGTCGCTGATGGGACAGCAGGTCAGACAAGATACATACACCTTGTGCTGGGGTAAACTGCTGTACATACTGGTTGCATACAGCAGTATAATAAATGGTATAGCTGTGTTGTTGTTGTTGACTTCACATTAGTGTGTACAGGCCATTATTGGGCAACAGCGCAATACCGGAATCACGAAATACCACGCAGACACCACCCACCACTAGAGAGAAGAAACCACGGCAGAAACAGGCAGGGAATCACACGGTATCGAATTGCACCCAAGTTCTGAACATGAGCGTCGTGACTACTGCTGTAGACTACGGCAGAATCATCCGAGGGTTGAGGAAGCAGGAGCACGAGTACTGTACTCTCTTTGATGCGCATAGGATGGCATCGACAACCTTTACCGCCTTCTTGTGCCTCACATGGTCATTCGCCACCCGCTTGTTCTCTCGGCAGGCAATGTCCCTCTACTCCGGCGCTCTCCCTCCCTCGCTTTCCTTCAACCTGTTTCTCGCGTGTAGTCCACACCAAACGGCACACCAGCAGGAGGCAGGTAGGTTGAGGACATGCTCAGCAGCACGAGCAACCTTGCAAGCATTGGGGGAGGCTCCGCCGCACATATAGTGCACACCCCCTGCTGCAGCACCGACTTTCCATGTCACGGTGCCACTTACGGCTGTGATCATCATGTGATGTGCCACGCAGGCGGTGCAACAGACACACCAGAGAACCAAAGAGCGAACGAGAGACAGGAAAGATAGGTCGGTCGAAGCACACAAACATGAGAGCAGCAATCACGTTGGTACTGGTGGCGGTTATTTCGGCGGCATGCCCATGCCTTTCGTTCCTGCGGTGCTCCTCACCGCGCCTGAGCAGGAGCGGTGCTCCATGTTCAACTCGTTCAGGACCGACAGGGTGAGTGGCACAACGCATATTGCACATCTATGGTAGAGCATTGCCTTGGGAAGTTTTTCTCGTTGCTGCTCAGCACAAACGGGCTTTGTTCGGTGAACGACTCGCATCCAACTGCTGTCTTGTCAGTGCTGGTGTGATCGTGTGATCCTGTGTCACGACCTGCTTCTTGTGGACACATGACTCTGTCGGCGTGCAGAACACGAATTTTGATCTTGGCCATTTTTTGAAAACAAACGCAAGAGCACCAGCAGCTGCACAACAGGCACACAAGACCAGTCGGAAGGCATCGCGACGAACAGAATTCGTTGATTCTTGCACTGGGCGGCAATAGAGGCTGCTCACAACATACATTTCACGCGTCTACCTCCACACGCCCCCTTTGAAACCAAGTTAAAATTAACATAACTCTAAATTCAAGTAAAACAAGAAACGGAAGGCGCGCAAAAAAGGTCAGTTTCGTGGGTTAGGCTAGGCATTCTGTTGTCATCAGTGTAGAGGACACCATGAAGAGGCGCTGTGCGTGCTGGCACGTTCAGGTTTGCTACAGGAGCTTAAATATCGAAGGTGGCACCAGCCTTTCAAAACAGTCCGAAATCTGCGCCGAAACCAGGCGGCATCCAACATTGGTCACAGCCATGCTCGCCGCCACCCCAATCTCCTGAACTCCGGGTGTACTTGTAGAGCAGCAGCTGATGCCACTAGGTACTGCTGACACCCCGTCCGTTCAGGGGCTTACGGTCCGTGGCGGTGAGTACGGCTGTGACAAATGTTGGATGCCGCTTGGTTCCGGCGCAGATTTCGGACTGTTTTCAGCGGCTGGTGCGACCTTCGATATTGAAGCTCCAGTATCCAACCTGAGCGTGCTAGCCCGCACGACGCCTCTTCATGGTGTCCTCTACTGATGACAACAGAATGCACCACCTAACCCTGGCGGTAAGGTTATTTTCTTTCCTTGTGTAGGATCAAAGTATGCGAAAAAGAAGCAGTGTCACATCATTTCTTCACACCCTTCAAGTCGCTTGGCAACGACGTTGTAAAACAAGCCAATTCACTTCGTGAACTCGGCAACCAGGTTACCGTTTTTTTTTTTTTTGCCTCTTTTTTTTTTTGGCGGTAACCATAATGGTGGTCGAGTAGATCATGTTGTGCGGGGTCGAGAACTCTCACTCCGCGCAAGGGGGATGGTCGCACCACGGTGTGTTAGAATGGTCAAGCACCCTCGAGGCAGTTACACAGTGCTTACAACTGTCTCTGGAAGTGAAAGCACCAGAAAGTAAATTAATTCATACGCAGCTGTCATCCGTACGCAAGGAAGTAAGCACAAGATGCCGAACACCCTTAGCAGGATGCAGCGCACCCTTCATGCGACTCGCCGAATATCTCACGGCGCTTCGCGCTTGGTGATGTGAGAGCCTGGTCCGGTGAGAACCCGGCGTGCTCCGTCCCGGCTTTGTAGGGATGCGAGGTCAATGGTCTAACGACTACGGCATGCACGACTATGAGTACATCCCCCCCTTCAACTCAAGACTTTAGACTACAGTAGGATGGTGACAACACCCTGTTTTTCTCTTAAATCGGGCTTTCTCTATTACCGTATTGGCCACGGTTTAAGAGAATATTATCTTTTATCGTGAACACGGTTTAAGAGAAATTCCTCTTAAAACCGTGACATTTTCCAAAGGCCGTAAGAGGTTGGTGGAGGGCATATCATTCAAATTTCACCACGTCAGTACTCGTTAGCACCTGTGCTAGGTCCACGCACTGCTCAACCTGTTTGTTGGTGAGAATTGTACCCACCGTAAGGACCGGGTACACTCCTCTAACCATTCCTACCCCGGCCACCTCCTACACCCAACACCCGTCCTTTTCAACTCACAAGAAGCAAGTTAAGAAAAAAACACTTCAAACATAGAAAATATCGCATGCCCAAGAGTCAACGCAAGCGTAAAATCAACCAACTCAACCTGTCGGCCGCAACACCCATCTCTGCTGTGTTCCGTTACATACACCCTCCCATGACCGTCTGCCTGGTTTCCCTCGAACCGTAGGCACTCATCGAAGGTAGCTTAGCCTTGCGGAGGTGGTAGGACACTTCGGACATGCCGCACGTCTCGGCAGTATCCTCGAGTTCACAAAAGTGTTGCGCTACCCCCGAGTATGGTGGCGAACGCCGTGCGGCTATCCCCGAGGACTGACCCGCTTCGCCTTGCTCAGCCTGCTCGACATCGTCATCCAAGACGAGATCCATGCGCCAGGTTTCATCACAGAGATCGTCCATCATGTCTGCTACGATCGCATTGGCTACCTCCTTGTTCTCCTCTACTGTCAGCCATATTTCCAACGCGTCCATGGAACCCGCATTTGGTTTCGCTCCCGGTGCCAGCCCCAAGCCAGCGAGTGCCCCGCTGATGTCGCGATGTCTCCACTGCACAGCGGCTGCCTGCTGCGCATGGCATGGTGTCTGCAGCTGTGTGTGTGATGGCTGTACGCGGCTCTTTTGCACAGGTTTGATTTAAGAGAAAATCTCAGAAATATGGCAAATTTTCTCTTACATCGATTTTGGTCGTGACAAGCCAGCTTGACTCTCTTAAATCGGTACTTTCTCTTAAACATTTTCTCTTAAACTGTAGCCACTACTGTTAGACCCTGGGGTTACCCCTATTTTGAGGCCAAAAATGTGTCCCAAACCGGGTAAACTTTTCGTGGCAAATAGACTGCGCTTTTCCTTCTTGGACCAATAAAAACGTTCGGAATTTGAATCAAAATAAAAAGACACACGAACACACACGAACAGACTGGACAAATATGGTCAAGCGCGTTTACGCAGCAATGCGCGAGGTGGACACCCGTCACTGCGCTCACTGAGGCTGCTGGCACACACGAAAAGCCAGTACCCCACAGCCCGACCGGTCATAGATGGCGGACCCCACCGGTTCGACGGCGAACCCGCCCGCTTCGACGGCGGACCCGCCCGTGCTGTTGCCGAAAAATAGAAAAAGGGAAACGGGCAAACAGCAGGGCGGTTGTGAGAGCGGGAAAACAAAAACAATGCGCGCTGCTGCTGCTCCTGCTGTATTTTCTCGCTCTCAACACCAAGTCTGTTGATGATAGCAGCTGCACGCAGCTTCGCCTGCCTCTCTTGGTATCGTCCTGCTTATGTTGGTTCTATCAACCTGTAGGACTCGGAGGCATACGAAGTAGTCGCACTAGAAGGGAACAGCAAAGCCAAAAACACACGAGAGCAAAGACACACACACACGCACTCACGCACCTTTTTCTTCAAATTAGCATTTCTCGTCTCGGCAACCTTTCCCCACGCCGACGCCGCCTCCAGCTCCCTCCTCGCTTGCTCTACCTCCATCCGGGTGCGGATGAGCTGCTGAGCACTGCTGTGTTCTATTAGAAGCACAAATCAGAGATGGGTTGTACNCTTCTTCAGATCGGCGCGCAGGACTCGCTCTCGCACCAACAGCTGTCGCTCCTCTTCTGCGGCCTGCTCCGCCGATTTGCGGACTCGAGCCTCTCTACGCTTCGCCAACTGAGCTTTTTTGAGTTTCTCGGGGGTAGCAGCGGCCGTACGCTTCAGGGTAGGGTAGTCGGCCTTCTCGGCAGCCTTGCGTGCGCGCCCAGCCGTCGCTGCGTCCGCAAACGTGCATCCTTCTCTCTCGAGAAGAGAAGTCGTAAGTTTTTGAAGATTTTTTTTTTGGACTTGACGCGACCCTTGTTTTTACCACCGCCCTTACAAGTAGCCATAGGAGGTGATCTGGTAATCAATGCCACTCGTCGGCTTCTAGGTCAATCGGGGATCGTTTTTCTTAGCTGTGTGCGCAGAAACCAGAGCTAGAGAAGTAGCGAAGGCGATTGTTGACCCTCGTCTCGGTATTCGCGCCAGCTGCGTCAACAGCCGAAATTTCCGTCGTTTCGGGATTTTTCAACCACCAAACGGAAATCGGCTTCGCTACTTCTCTAGCTATAGCATAATTACAGGTGATTGTAGATTGAGAAGAGCCATCTCCTCGCCGTCTTCGCGCATTTTTGATTGCCAGTTCCTTGTCTTTGCTCAAGTAAGTAGGACTGCTGTCTGTGCGCCCCCTTCAAACAAAAAAAAACAAAATATATTCGCAGCATGCCGTTTTTTGTTGCTCCGCAGGGGGGTAACCCCAGGGTCTAACTGTACTACCGTACGCCACATGCACAGCCGAGCGTACACGAAAAAAGAGTTTCGGGCGCACACACTCCCACTTTTTTCATTTTGGGCCCGCCGGGGGGGAGGCGGAGGCGGGGGGTCTACAATACCGTAGACGACACAAGATAACACACCCCGGTCATAACATTTTGGGCCTTAACAATATTATCGCCGGGTGTGGTATCTTATGTAGCCCAGGTGATGAAGTGCAGCTCGCTTGGGCCCTGAAGCGGGTGTGATAAACCAAGGGGTGTGATAGTACGTCCGAACCCGCAGAGGGTGTGTTTGGGGTGTGAAAAATGAGGGGGTAAGGGGGTGTGTTATTTAGCACGTCCGAATACCCACAGGGTGTGTTTTGGGTGTGATAAATAAGGGGGTGTGATAAGAGGTGTTTTAACACTTGTTGTAGAGTTGAACCGCTGCTGCCGCACACTTGGTTGGTATTGCGGGGTGTGATAGCAATGCCTGTACGAACACTTCATGACTTGTGGTTCTTCGGAATGTGGTAAAACAAAAGAGCTCAACGGAGGTGACGAAACTCCTGAGCACATGACTCGGTGGCCACAGATTGCGCCATGCGGCCTGCCCCCTGACATTAAAAAGTAGGCTCCTGCATACCTTGCTATTGGGTACGACCAAAAGAGAGTAACGCACATGTTGTGTGTGGTTGTGTGTGTGATACCCACATGCCCACGCGGCAGATGTTGTACCACCCCGGTGATGGACGGAGGAGCCTGCGGCGTAACCTCAAGGGGTGTGTTATCTTATGTAACCCCGGTGATAAATTGATGGTTTGTCCGAAACGCCGAAAATA